CTTCAAACTACCTTTTAACCTTGTGCATGCTTTAAAAACCGAGATCCTTTTTTAATTACAATAATGTAATCATGCTAATTCTACTTATGTTCATCAATTAAAATTATCAATTAAAAACCCTTGGATGAATAATTAGGGTAGTGTGAAAGAGTGAAGATGGTATTCTTTGGTCTTTTAGCCTCACATTGTCTTGACCTGTGACCCCGTGAACCCATGACCCTTAGGTGCGCACCCCCATTTGAAAAATCCTGGATCCGCCCCTGACTGAAGCGTGTAACAAAAATAATTTCCCTCTGGGATTATTAAAGTATTTCTGATTCTGATTCTGATTGAAAGCAGCGGCTATTTTGAGGCATGAGTTTATTATGTCTCAACGGGAGGGATAATGAGTATAGTACAACAAGTATTTAATCCAACTGCAGGATTAAATCACTACTTTAAAAAGTTTTGCAGAGCATGTCTCACATGTTGCGAAGAACATGTAATCTGCCCAGAGCTCCTTTTGTTTTCCCTACAGGAAGGCCTAAAGCCTGGAGACCGTGTGCTGATTAAAATCATCAAGGGGAAAATTGGGCAGCTCCTAGGTGTGAAGGACCTTACATTGTGCAACTAGCAACTCCAACCGCTGTGAAGATCCAGGAGAGAGACACTTGGATCCACCTGAGTCATTGTAAGCTGGTTAAAGATTTTCCTCAGCAAGAAGCCCAGTTACCTTCACAGGGACCCCACGACTAAGGTAGGGATCTGTGGTGAAGCCCAGCTACAAAGGGGTTAAGCAATTTAGAGCTTTTCATCTCAACGCTGGTGAAGAAACCAACCTAACCCAATCCCTTAGCGTCCTGGTTAGTGGTTGCTTCCTTGGAGGGACTGGTGAAGATGGGAAAACTAAAGTGCCTCTGCTGCCTGATGGTGACCATTGGACTGGTGCTCTTAGAGACTCAAACTGACCGCCAGAAACAAAGGAAAAACCAGAATGGTTTTTGATGGATCCACAGCAAGTCATCCTTACGGCGGCAATATGTGGTGGCAGCATTCCAAGCACGTTGCTGAAGGTTTGAATAAAACGGACTGTTATGTTTGTACTCATACGGACCGCTCTGAATGAGTTGAAGATTTAAATAGTTTTTGCCTACTGAAGGGACAGATTTTTTAAGCTTTTTACATTCTTAATAAATCTTACATTTTTGCTTAAGTTTTACATTTTAATCGTTTTCATATTTTTGTTTTGCATATTGATCTTTGATTACTGAATTCTCTATCTGCAATGCATTTATGATGTGTGTAGTAAAAATCTTTTTAGAAGTGCTACATGCTAATGTTTATATGCACAAGAGGAGGGAATGTTAGGTTTATTCAGTGATGATTATAAAATTAATGTGTGCTTATAAAACATTTGTGCGAGGGGATGCTCCACTCCTGTGTCATGATTCAGTCAGGAGACCATCCTACCTTGTCACTCTGATGGAGCATTCTGTCTTCATGAACTGATCAATTGTTCTGTCAGAACAATACTCTGTTTGTAAACCATGTGTCATGTTCTGTTAATAAACGCTCTGCGGAGGAGGTCCAGTGGGAGACAGTGTTTTTGAGTCGGGGGTTCAACTGTCTCTCCTTTCTGCAGAAATTGTATCCATAATTGTGTATTTCAGTTCTCCTTTTGCAAAAACCTACATTTTATGAACCCGACATAAAGGCTTTAAAAGCAATTTCTGCCTGAAAATACACACCTGATATAAATTAAGTGTCAGGATTTGGTTGTGGTTTGAGGACCCAAATGCAGAGGCAGGGAGGCAGAGGTGAGTTTCTTGTTGATTTAATGAAAAGTTAGCAGAACACAGAGGCAGGAATCCATAAATCCAAAAATCAAGCATGAAAAAATTAAAACAAACCAGAAAGCATGGAGACTTTAGGCGGAAAACTATCATGATGAGGAAGACCCAGTGAGACGGAGTTGGAGGAAGGTAGACGAGGAACCAGGACTGAGGAGTGTATTTATGGGAGACTGAACAAAGAGAGGACTAACGAGTAGATAGGGAGCAGGTGTGAATATAGCAGACTGGAAAGGAGCTAGGGAAAAATTAGAACACAAGAGGGCAGCAGAGGGCAACAAATAAAAACTCGAAAACCTAAAATATAACCAGAAAACACAACAAAATAAGAAATGAATCAATAACACTAGAAAACATGGAGCAAAGTAAAACTGAATACTCAAAAGAAAAACAACAGAACCAAGACTGTGACATTAAGGATAGCTACAAATTCAGTTCTATATGCTAAAGATAAAGGAATATTTTTCAAATTGAATCACTATCACATCTCTATGTCGGATTCTTTTTTTAGACAGTGAAAAATCTATTTTGCTTTTTTGTTTTTTTAATTTGCAGTAAAAGTTAAAAATCCCTGAATGTCCTTTTGAAAACCTGGGAAACACCTTAGATTGCATTCATCAAAATCTTTAACTGTCGTATGTCAGGACTGAATTAGTTGAAGCCTTTTGATCCATAATGGAAGCCCGATGCCACCCTCTGGGTCCAGTACTGGTAGGACTTAGAAACTTTCCTTCAGACTAAAACAAATGGAAATAGAATCAGTTTATCAGCCAAGATTGGGTGGAAAAAAAAGTTCCCCTCAGTTTCAGCCCCTTTCAAAATAAAGACATTTATAAACTTTAGAGAACAAAGGACAAATGTCTGCAAAAAGCAGTTTCAGTCCTTCAGAAATCTGAACAGCTGAACTGTTTCTCATTTCCTTTTAAAAGAAAACAAGTTGAAACCTTGCCCTTTTTCCCAGCTCAGGGATTTCAGGGATTTTGAAACGGTCCTTATCGCTTCACTGTTGGACATTAACCTGTTTGCATTTCCATTTTTCTGTTTGTCGTCCTCAAGTTGTACAGAAACATTTCCAGTCTTTTTGTTGCCGCAAAATTAGTATAGAGTGAACTGATGATGATGGCTTCAGATGTTTATTTGCCTGTAAAACTTGACTGAACATTCAAAAAAATAAGAAGAAAACTCATTTTTGTTTGCATCCTGACAAAGGAAGGCACATCTCTGTACTCCATGACCTCCTTTTGACCTTGTTTTAATTAAGAACCAGAATCTGTCTTGCAAGACGATAAATCTTCCATATGAAATAAAAACTTCCACCAGTTTAATGCATTTTTTGAACCCAGAGTTCAGTTAGATGAATGCAGACAAAACAGAAGTCATAGTATTTGTACCAGAGTATTGGAAAAAAAATACCTTATTATTCAGTCTCTTCATTTGGATGGGATTAAACTGATCTATAAAGTAAGATAATAAAGTAAAAAATCATGGTGTTATTTTTGATTAGGTCCTGTCATTTAAATCAAATATCAAAGAGGTTTCTAGAATTTCCTTCTTTCATCTGAGGAATATTGCACAAATTAGAAATATCCTGTCCAGGGGTGATGCTGAGAAACTAGTCCATGCATTTGTTACTTCTAGGCTGGACTATTGTAATTCTTTACTATCAGGAAGTCCACAAACTGTAGTTAAAAGCCTTCAGCTGATCCAAAATGCTGCAGCCAGAGTTCTGATGAAAATGAAAAAGAGAGATCATATCTTTCCTATCCTGGCTTCTCTTTATTGGCTTCCTGTTAAATCCAGAATAGAATTTAAAATCCTCCTTCTCACACATAAAGCCCTAAATGGCCAAGCTCCATCTGATATCAGAGATCTGATTGTTCCTTATGTTCCTAACAGAGCACTTTGCTCTCAATCTGCAGGTTTACTAGTGGTTCCCAGAATTTCTAAAAGTAGAATGGGAGGCAGATCTTTTAGTTATCAGGCTCCTCTCCTGTGGAACCAACTACCAGTTTTAGTCCATGAGGCAGACACCCTGTCTACTTTTAAGACTAGGCTTAAAACGTTCCTTTTTGATAAAGCTTATAGTTAGAGTGGTTCAGGTTATCCCGAGCTATCTCTATAGTTATGCTGCTATAGGCTTAGACTGCTGGAGGACATAGGGAACCCTTTTTAATTATTCTGCTTGATTGTATCTCTATTCTCCCTCAGCAGAATTAGTTTGTTAAACCTCCAACGTTCTGCTCTCTCTGCTTTTCCTCATAGTAGCTTCATCTGGTCTGTTCCTGTTTGACTGTGACTACATCCTGGAGAGAAATATCAGTTGTGCTGCTGCCATCAACACCTTTGTTTATAGATGTCCGAGCTTGGCCTGTTTTTCACTGTAGAATTAGCACTTGTGAATTAGCGCTATGTAGATAAACTGAATTGAATTATTCAGCTCTATCACACTTAGGGATTGATAGAACTTCTCTACAAGAGAAAATGTTATCTTAATAAGTTGACCCATGTGCCAAGCCCTACCACAGCCCTACCACAACTGGTATGGTGTAAAACACAGCACTGAAGTATTAGTGATATATAAATAAAAGATACACGTAAATACAGGAAACTTACTGGTCTTAATCTAAAATTCACAGAACAATACCGTCCATTAAAATGTTAACACAATGAAGTCCCATCGATAAAATAATTTAAATAAATGTGCTTAAACGTATTTTTCTTTTCAACTTACTAGTTAAGCAGTTAATAAAATTAAATGGTTTTAGGCAGTTGGTTTCCTCAAATCCTTTCAATTTATCAAACATTTACAGTGAATTTTTAAGTGGTTATCGGTTGCTGTCTGTGTTCCCTTAAGTCTTAACTAAGGTTTTGTAAGGCGCATTGGTAAAAAAAACGAAAACATCATCAAAACAAAGAGGTTCACAAAGCCGTAAACAAAAGCAGCTTTGAAACTTCAAAAATCCCCTGTGCGGATCAGGTCTGAGTTAATCTTCCGAGCAGCAATTACACCCACATATTTATAGTTCTGTGCTGACAGAATCTGGGTTTCCCACATGTACAGTCCCTCTGTTAGTCAGATGGATCAATAAGTAGATCACATTGGTTTGTTCATGAGACAGGCTAATGATTGACTGGTGACAACATCAGCCAGCAGAGCACATATCAGACTTTAAGCTCAGTCAATCAGACAGAAAGCTGCTTCTGAATTTGCAGCTTTTCACACTTGTGGACATTTTTTTTCTCACCTTTGTATTTTTTTTGTTCAGTCCTCATCATCTGTCAGGATGAAGTCATACTCTTTCCCCTTGTTTTTTCTTCTCATCGTTTGCTCTGAATCGGTGAGTTGGACCTTTTCATTCTTATTCAGGCTTATCAGCAAAACAGAATCTGGATAATCCTAAAATAATTAGCAAAAACAGCAGTGCAACAGTAGGCTGTTTATCTAATCCTAACTCAGTGGTGTCCAAAAATTTTGCCATGAGGGCCAAGATCATCCGTTCGGCTGAGGTTGTTGCAAAACCAGTTTGTAAATATATTTCTTATGTAACTGTATACCTAATTGCTCAATTTTAATTTAAATATACAAGATACTCTATAAATTAATCTAGTGGTCATGTTTTGGCAGGCAGGGAGGTGATCTATATATCATTGTAGACCCAAATATAGTTGGGTGGGGGTCTGGGCTACACTGAAGCCTGCTTTTAAGTAAAGGTTTCTGTTCTAAGAGAAATTTCCAGGCTACTAGAAGCTTTCTTTTGTGAAAATGTTGACCGAGAATATAAAAAAAGTAGCGTCCATCTGCATCCTCAATGTGTACTGTCAGAACCAGGTTCTTGAATTATTGTCAGGGTCATCACAAAATCTGCCAAGGGCTGCAAATGGCCCCCAATCTCCACTTTGGACACAAGTGCCAAAAGAAATTCATTTTGAATTGCAGGTTCAGATGTCCAATCATTAAATTGGGCAGGATTGAAAAAGCATAACCAAACTTTTAACACGCTAACTGTAGCCCCATTTAAATTATCCTCTGAAAAATGAGGTGAGCTTGTGTAGGGTAAATCAGGGATAGATCAACATGGTTTAAGTAGAGAGTATTTTAACAATTGAGAAACAAAGTGGGCTTCTTTGTTTGATCTCTGGGAGAAAGGGAGTGGTCATGGTACGTCAAGGTTGTTGGAGGTCTTCAACAGGGGGTCTGCGACCCCTAGGGGATCCATGGAGGTGATAAATGGGGGTCGTGAAAGTTTTGGCTGATAAGACTTTTTTTTTAATATTCCTCCCTGCAATTTTTTCTAATAGTTGAAATGTCTTTAAATCCACATTAGCATGAATTCAACACACTGTAGTAAACAGATAGATGGAGGCAGAAGATGTCTTTCAGTCATCAATGCACACATTCAGCGACACACGGGAGCTCATTCAAGCTGGGCAATGTTTCATTTACAACACCTGTCCCATCAACCAGGAATACATTCTTAGGAAAACCAACACAAAATAAGCTGTTCTGATTATATACTTTAAAAGACTGTGAAGTTGCCACAACTTGCTCATATTACAAAGTAACCTATTGAACAAATTCAAGGGAAATATAACCTTTAGGTGACTTTTTCAGAAGGCCTCAATGTAGAAAAATTATATTGAAAAACTTTCAGATTATAACTTCTATTGCTTATATCAATATGATTTTTAAGGTATACCTGATATCGCTGAGAAAAACATTTAATAAGGGCTTTTTGACCATTTTTAGTAAGACCAGGCATCATCTGCAAACTGCATAAGCTGCAACAAATAATAAACTATTTTGATATACAGATTTATGAATCCATTTTAACTTCTTCCTCAGGGGAGTCCACCAGAAAAAGAGCAGGCATCTGCCTTAGAACAGCCTAAACAGGACAAGCAGAAACCAAAGCTTCCAGTGGTCACAACACCTGCCCCAAAAACCACTGAAGCACCAAAAACAGATGAGTTTTTGGGCCCACAAGAATGTCTGGACAAAAAGTAAGTCAAGTACTCATCTAAATGTTTTTGTAATCCTCAAAAATGGCTTTCTGAATGTCCTTCATGTTATTGTTTAAGATTGCAGTAGTATGGTAAGTTTAGTGGATTTATTAGACCGAAACTGCTAGTCTAGGTTGTTCAGCCAAAGAAAGGTGAGCTAATAGCCCCAGGTGATCTATCAATCTAGATCAGTTGATCAAAGAAGAATGATGACTCATATTCCTCAGATTGACTAGAGCATCATGTGACCTGATGTTTTGCCCTCCATGGCAGCGATGCGTTCAAGGACACTGTTCCTGCAAACCTCCCTACTTGTGTCCGACTGAAGGTGTGGAACCAGTTTGTGGGACAAACCACAGGAGTTACACATCTTATTGCCAGGTAAAACCAGAACGATCCTTATTTGTTTGCAAAGACACTGATTTTTTCGGGGACAAGCAGATAATAAAAGAATAATTTAATTATGTTTTGTGAAAAAACAAGCTGATTTGTTTCCCAGGTAATGGCAGTTTCGTGCCGGACAACGAAACTCCTATTTTCCCACTTTGGAAAAGAGTGCAAAGGTTTTGTCTCATAAACACATTTCTGTGTTTCTTTTTTGCATTTATAAATTTTACTTTCTTTTATTTGGAACCCAGAGAACATTCCTAAGTTCCAAAGTTCCCTGGACAGTACTACAGGAGTAATCAAGATCTTCCTTCCTGATGGCAACGGAGGTGGCGAGAACTTACTAGTGTGTCAGGAGTTGTGGGATGTGGCAGCTGCTAATGTTGCCTGCAAGGAGCACAAATATTCACTGTGAGGATAATATTATACACTTATACCTATAAAGTGCATTTTTTGGTATTGTTTTAAAGGAAAATACACACAAACTAAATGAAATTCCATACTGTAACAGAGGGGCAGCATCTGTAGACTTTGTGGACTACAACTTCCTTGTGAACAACACTGATAACAAAGACCTCCCTAACAACTGTGTCAACATCCATTGCCAAGGCTATGAGACCTCTTTGGCTGAGTGTGAAATCTACAATAAGGTGAATTCTTCAGGCAGAAGGGTCGCGGCAGCAACCTGTTACAAAGACCCACCCGAAGGTCAGTCTGAGAAGATCCTGAAATCATGAGCCCAATCTGCATGTGGTCACCTGAAGGCTTGCCTTCATTACATCAATGGTATCAGTTTGCTAATAAGGCACTAATGGTGGTACCTTTCTTGGCCATTGTGTGTCCAAAATTGGTACTCTTAGCTCTTCCAAGAGACTCTTTGGTTGCTTCTTGTCCTTGAGGAGTTTAAGTTTCTTCAAACTCAAAGGATCACTCTGTAAACAATGTGGTCATCTTTCAGCTGTAGTAGTATGGGTATAGAGTGGATGGAAACTGAAGCAAAGACAGAAAGATGTAGACAGAGCCTTAACACTTAGAGCATTTCAAATAATCCACAGCTTGCTAAGTCGTCTTAGTTGCACTCACTCTTCAGGGCTACAAAAGCCAGCTTTCATCCTAGTAAGATAGCTGAGGAAAGGGGCTGAATCCCTCACCATCGAAGCAGCGCCCTTTTTTGTGTCCTGGAATCTAAAAATATGGCTATTGGTGACGGAAGTGGATCCACAATTAAGTCCTAAATGACATAGGTCCTGCTTCCTTCCTAAAATATATTTTTTAACAGCCAATACACTCCTTGATTATTTCAAATGCTTATAAAGTGTCCAGATTTCTAGTGTTATTGATTCCTTATATCTTCTGTCATTATCATGGATGTGCCAAACCTGAACCTCAGGACCAAATCCTAGCTGACACTGACCCATTCCTGTCTTCTTAGGTCTTGAATTGGAACATGATGAATTTGTATGTCATTTACCACCTAAATTTTATTACCCAATAAGTGCCTCTCCATTAACTTCTACGGCTTCCTGGCCGGAGGTCCAGAATGTCTTGATCATAATTTAGCCAATGACAGGGTGCTCCAACCCTCTGGAAAATCCACTGCTCAATAAACTAGTCTTGGACTGTGGGAGGAACGTATTTTTGGAGGACATTTTGATCTCCCAATGGTAGATTTCTTGAGGGGAATTGTGAAGGAGCCCGATTACTTGGACTAAAGGCTTATTGACACTACCCTTTTGAAACCGTGTTGATATAGATCCAAGCACCGTAACCGAGAGAACGGTTGAGTATAAATGGTATGCCAAACTGAAACAGACTGTGTCAGACACAACCAAACTGCACAAAACTGGTACAAGCTCATTAGTTGGGCTTGGCATGGTTCAGTTCTGGCTCAGTTCTCAGATAACAAAGAGCGCATGAGCAGACCGCTTCATCTCCTTACAGTCGGCCTCCATAATCATGAAATTTTAGACATTCATAAAAATACTAGCTTCCTTACTGTGCCACACGATTTCTTGTGATGATTCTGCTTAGCAGTGTGATGAACCTCAACGTCTGTCATTGTGTCCTGCCTCTGTACACCCTGATTAGTTTGTCCTATCCACTTCCCAAAAGCCGACACTGTCAAGTAAATTCACCAAAGGCTGCTTTCTTCTCATGACTCCAAAAACTTCCTGAATGATATGGGTGCCGCTTATGTTGATTTTCTTGTTTACCTCTAGAGAGCAGCAGTACCATAGATCGTAACTAGGAGGTAAGGACCATGCTAGAGCGGTATGTAAATGGTTGTAAGGAACCAAGCTCGGCACGGTTAACTGATCCCCCTCTGTATGAACTCGGCAAGGATCGGTTTTGAGAGGATAGTCTACACTGCATGAAAAGTGAGATTTTCGTCCCCGTAAACTCCCCCAGATCTCCCTGATTTTCGTCAGTTTCCGACAATTTGCAACCCGCTCTTGTCCGCGCCACAAATTGTTGGAAACGGACTCTGACGTATGTGGAGAGCGATCAGCTGTACTAATGGCCCTAATTAGCATATGAATGCAGCTGGCCAGGTCTGGCTTGAATAACCTACTCAGTATTGGCTGAAACCACTATTCTCAAACAAGTAAAATCGCTCGTAATTGGCAGCAAAACCACACGTGGCCACGCCAGGCTTTAATTTTCTTACTGAGTATTGGACGGAACCACTTCTTTTTAAACAAGTAAAGTCGCTCGTGATTGGTTGGCATATATATTTACATATAAATTTACATATATATATATAATTTATTTATTCATTCATATATTTATTCATTCATATGCTGTGTATTTATGTTATCCTACACTACTACACAATTATTAGGCTACCATCAAGGACATGAATGAATTTATACAGGAAATGAACATTTGCAAGAAGCTGTTTATGCAAAGAAAGAGCTTTATTAAAACACACAACTATATACAACGCGTATCCAAACACATGCGTATCTAAAAATTACAAGTCCGTGAACGGTCCGTTTGCTTCCTCGGGGTTGGAGGTAACTGGCAGCATTCCCTCCGAGGCAGGTCCGATGTGCAGACGCCTACTGTGCGTGGCCCTGTACTTCGGCATCGCTTCTAACCGGGACCGCAGCTTAACACAGAGTTCAGTGAGATCCGGCCTACGAAATGGCGGCGACCGTACAATCCATCCAGAGACACCGCTAATGACGCCATCTTCTTCGTCGGACATGAGGTCGGCGGTGGCGGACTTCCAGAGTTCCACTTCCTCATCTGCTAGCACACTCTGCCTCGCTTTCAGCAGCTGAAAAAAAACAATGAATCAGCGCACTGCGTATGGACACAACACATCTATCAATGCACCTGAAAAATAGTCACCAAATAAAGTCTTACCCTCTTTCTTCTAGCCCGACTCCGAGCAGAATGCTTGGCAGCCTCCGCACGCAACGTGTTGGCTGGCTGTGTATATCTGAAGCTCCTGCGTACCGTCTCAAAATACGTCTTACAGGCAGCTGGAAAACAATTAAATGAGAGTGGTATGAATAAAAAATCAAACGCAAGTCACAGTAACAAGGAAGGAGAAAACATTAAAACAATGTCGTCTTTATCAACATCGTGCAAATCTGGACTTGCTGATATGGCTCCGAGCAAATAGGAGGTCACCGCCTCATTGTGAGGCGAGGGAAGTCTGTGAAAACAAAATGTACAGCTATGATCGGTATCTATCCGTATCCATTTCCTTTTACCGCAGAATGAAAGCATATTCTTTAAATCTTACCCTTGCTCCGGTTCATAGCACCTGCAATTAGCCTCCGAGTTGTGAAGACGGCGTACTGCTTCCTATGAATCACAAAAAATACACTTTAATAAAGCTTGTTCTTGCAAGGCTACCATTAGCCGTAGCTTTAGGCTAGGCTGCTATTAGCAGTAGCTTTAGTCTAGGCTGCTATTAGCCGTAGCTTTAGGCTAGGCTGCTATTAGCCGTAGCTTAAGGCTAGGCTGCTTTTAGCTGAGCAGGCAGTAATCAAACATATATTTACCGCTAGCTTCTCTTCTTTGAGTTCGTCTCTCCCGCACAGTTGTCACCATCGCGTCCAAAAGGAGTTGAAGGCGAGTTGAACGGGGGACGTCGTCCAGCCATGGATCACGTACCAGCAAAATCCTTCTTCTTCTTCTTCTTCTTTTCATTAATGGCGGATTGCAAGTAACTTTTAGGTGCATACCGCCACCTACTGTACACGTGTGTGTAGCAACATTTTCTCTACATTTATTAAATTCTATTTATTAATCTTGTGTTTTTAAGAAAAGCTTAAGCCGGAAACCCCCTCTCGGTACTCCCAGTTTTAATTGCATCTGAGAGCAACACGCAACAACACCACATTCGAGCGGGCGCAGGGAGGATCGGGGTCTTCTCACACCCCTGTTCTCCGGCTGCCGCCCGGAGTCTGGGGCCTGGAGGAAGAGCAAGCCACCTGGTCCGTGGTTTTGGCTGGGGCCGGCTGCGGGGCCTAGGTGGCCTGCCGGTGGCGGGGCTGTCACCTCTGCTCTCCCCAAAGAAGGTTGGATGGAGGGGCATGAAGTGCCTGGTTGAAGCGTTTTGTTTTTTTTTCCGGGGGGGGGCAGTTCTGGTTTGGTGGCAGGCGCGGGATGGGTGGGAGGGGTGCAGATGAATCACAGAAACATTTGGGAGGGGCTCTTGCTGGGGGTGGTCCGGTCCGTGTGCGGGGTGGGGGGCCGGGCTTGAAGCAGGAATGAGATGGGTTGGTGTGGCGGTGTCGCCGCTCCCCTCCCCCCACATCCGGATTTTAGGTTCACTTATTGGGTCATCCGATAGTCCCGGGACCAACCACCGGTGTCACCGGGTTTTTGGTCCTGGTATTATTGGATGTGAGTGTTATGTGTGAATGTGTGTCCGCGTTGTTATTTTCTTTATTTATTATTATTATTATTTTTTATTTAATTTTGGGTTTTTTTCTCTGTGGTACGAGTGGGGGCACTAGGGAGGGAAGGCATGATTGGGGGCTCGGATCCCTGGGGCCCGGGACTGGATCCACTTCGGGGTGGGGCTGGGTGTTGTTCGGGGATTTTCGGTGTCGGTGCCGGTGCCTTCGCTACGATGCCGGTTCCTGGGCGGTGTTTTTTCCTATGCCGGTTCTGTGGTATCGGTTCGGGGGGGAGGGGAGCTGCACGGCATGGTGGGGTGCGAGTCTTGGGTCCTGTTTTGGGCTCCGGTGTTTCTGCTCGCATTTCTCCTCCTGCATATTTATTTTAATTGTAATTATTTATTTATTAAATAATAAATTTCTTTACTTATTTATTTTTTCTTTTTCTTCCTCGGTGGGGGGGAGCGGTTGCGGGCGGGTCGGTGTCTGGTGTCCACTGTCGCATTGTGGGGGCTCCTTTTTTTTTTTTTTTTTTTTTTTGGGGGGGGGGGTTTGGCATGTCTGTTTTCTCGGGGGGGCAGGCGGGCGCCGGGCCTGGGACGTGGCTGTGCTGCTTTGGCTTCGTCCGGTGGGGGAGCGGCGTGGTTCGCTCCGCTCTGGTTTTGTGCTGCCCCTCGGGCTGCTGGGGGGGGGGGGTTGCGCCGGCTGCGGTCTGCTCTTCTTGCGGTTTTGCGCCGGGCGGCTTTTCTGCTCTTGGGTTGATTCTGTGCGCGGTGTGTTGCGTTGCCCGCTGTTGGCGTAAGTCTTGGTGGGGTGGGGCTGCGCTTTGGGCCGGGGGGGCGTTTTGGGGGGGCCCCGCGGCGCTCGCGGCCGGGGGCCATGCGGCGGATGCACGTGGGCCCCGGCGGGAGGCGGGGCCGCCTGTGTGTTTTTCCTGGGTGGGGCGGTCGCGGTGGGTGTTGCGGCCGGTCGCCGGGGGGCGGGGCGTGTTTCGGTGCTCTGTGGGGCTGGGGCGTTTCGGTCGGTGCCGTGGGGGGGCCGGTGTTCGGTGCCCAGCTCTACTTCAGGGTGGCCGGCTGCCGGCGGGGCCCGCGGACTCGTCCCTGCGGCTCCCCGGGGCGCCGGCATGGCGGTGGCTGGGGGGCTTCTTCGTGGCTGTCTCTCCTCCTCCCTTGGTGGGGGTCTGATTTCCGGGGCTGGCCCCTCCTTGGTGCCTTCGCTTCTGGGGTCCCTTTGGGCGCCTGGGGCTTTGGGTCTCCCGGCGCTGGACTCAGTGCTCTGGGGGGTGTGCCTCTCCGGCTCTCCACAACCACTATTGAGCATTTTTTCTATGGTTAAAACTTTACATGCACAAGTTCACCCTCACAAATAACTACAGGTGCTAGGCTTCAGGTACTTAGAGATTCACTTCCAAACAGAAACCCCACATTCATATCTTCAGGTAACACAGAGTACATGTCAGACTTAATAATATTACTTCAGCGATAGTTTCAAGGTGTTGCTTTATTGTATATCTCGTACCGTGTCTTTTGGTTGTGCTGTTCTTTTTTTCATCTCGTTACAGGTGATGAAGCAGACTGAAAATGTTTTGTCATTGTCTCCTTCCTATCTCCTCTTTCTTTCATCTTTTGTCCTTTTTTTCTTTTTCCTTTTTCTTCTTCTGTTTTTCTGCTCTACTTACATTGCAGTGTCCATATGAACTGTAAAACTCCCTGCATAATTATAATAATTGCAATTGCCATACCGCTACACTTGTGAAAGTAAAATCTGTTGGGCTCCTTTTGGCATCAAGACAATTATTCTTATTGCCACCTTGCCAGACAGGACACTGTAAAAAATAAAAATAAAATTAAAAATAAAAAATAAAAAAAAAGGAAGAAAATATGATTCTCGTTGGACTCATACCTGGACCAAAAGAGCCATCACTACATATCAATGCTTTCTTAGACCCCTTAGTTGATGAGCTTCAATAACTTTAGTTACTATGAGTTACTATGATGCCATCAGTTAATACATCCTCTGTGCATTTAAGTAAGACCAAAGAAAAAGTCACGGTAGTCATGCCACTATGCACAGTAGTTGAGCTCTAGGAGACTGTGATCTCTGCAGACCCCTCATTCTGATTCTAATGTTGTTTGCATGGAATGCACATTTTACCAACTGATTCTGATTAAAACAAATTTTTGAAATACATTATTTTGTGTATTTTTTTACATAACATTTGCATACACAGTAATCTAGCGTACTTTAATTAAATAAATAAATTCAAGCTAAAATGTAAGAGTCTATAATTAGGCTATACTGAGCCTGATCTCTTTGTACCATCTATTTGGGGGATATTTATTGCCACACGTTGGGCCACTTAATACCAATTTAGCATCAAATAAATGAGGCAGCCTACCTCAGCATTGTTGCTGACCTTATGTCCTTATGACCACAGTGTACCAATCTTCTGATGGCTACTTCCAGCAGGATAATGCGCCATGTTATGAAGTGAATCATCTCAGACTAATTTCTTGAAACTTTTCCACTTAAGTAATTGTGAATTGAGCATATTGACAGACAACATTTTATTTTTTCTCTTAAATGCAAATTTTTAAAAAAATAATTACTGCTCTAAATGTATTGCTATGTCAGCTAAAGTACTGTTTTGGTCTCTATACTTTAATTAAATAAATCAATTCAAGCAAAAATGAGAGTCTATACTGAGCCTGATCTCTTTGTATCAGAGATTTTCTTACCTTTTGCATTTGTATAGCTCACAGCATTTTCATTTACATGTTAAAGCCTCCCCTAGAATTCCATTGGGGGGAGGCATGGGGGGAACACTGCCTAAGAAAGCCCACGTCAATTTCTGACAATTTATGGGAGTTTTCGGTGAAGCTTGCAAATTGCCGTAAACTGCCGCTAACCTGAAGTTCCACGACAATCTACAGTGCCGCATATTGACGAAAATCCCACTTTTCATGCAGTGCTAAATGGGGCAATTGTCTCCCTTTATGAAACACAGAACTAATTGTATTCTAAACAATCCGACAGATGATTCTTGAGGAAATCTAACATATAAAGTGCATCCCTGACCTTGAAATTTTTCTTTTTTCCATCGCTCTTGAGAAGCTTGTTGTCCAAATGCTGGAGTATGTTATTGTGGAGAGATAAGTTAAAAAGGCAATGCTTTTTTTTCGTCTATGGTCTTGAAATATGGGTAATGACCAAAAAAAACAAGATTCCGGATAAAGTGGCTGAAATTATCTCCTTTTACAAGGTAGTCGAGCATTCATTTAAAGATAGGTTGAGGAGCCAAACCATCCAGTAAATGGTTAAAATATAGGACATCTTTTCTGGATGCCCTTGGATGCCTCCCTAATGAGGTGTTTCAGACATATCCCAGCTGGTAGAGGTCCAAAGGATGGCCCAGAACACCCTGGAGGGATTATGTCTCTCAACTTGCCATGAAACACCTTTTGATTCCCCCAGGGGTGCTGGAGGAGGTGTCTGGGGAAATGAAAGCCTGGGAATTCTCATGACCCATTCCTTGATAAGTGGAATATGACAAGTATGAATTTTAAAGCTAATAATGTGCAACTGGTTATTTAGAATTATCTGGAAACAGCATAAGATTGCAACTACAAAATTTGCTAAACATGTTTTGCACCCGAACTAGCTTATTATTAAGTTTCAAGAAGTTTTATGCAACAAGCAGCCATGTAGAGAGCTACCTGTGTCACGGGCTCTGCTCCCTGTGGTTTTTCACATTGCAGAATGTGGCTTCACCTGTGCAAACCAGAAATGCATCTCCCTCAACCAGACATGTGACGGAGTGGATGACTGCGGCGACCGCAGTGATGAGATGTGCTGCAAAAGTAAGACCAAAAACCAAGAAACCTGTTTTATTTAGTTGAAGCTAAAGAAGTATACATGTTCAAGGTTACCCTGTATATCCTTGTGTTTTTCAGAATGCAGGAATGGGGCTTTCCGCTGCAAGACAGGGATTTGTTTGCACAAAGAAGCAGTTGGTGACAAACAGATTGACTGTCTTGATGGTGCAGATGAATCACAGAAACATTTGACTGCATTCAGTAAGAAACCAAAATCATCAAATGAATAGAGCAGTTTATTTTAAAGCAACACTGTGAACCTTTTAGCCACAAGGGGTGCTAGACAGAAGTGGTACCATGTCATTGTCTCTTAATTCTCAAGTCGGTCAAAAGTCTCTGTCTTCAAATTCCAGGTCAAGTTTCAAGCAATCATGTTAGAGTCGAGTCTCAATGAATGGAATGTCACCTCTATGGTGGGGAAGGAGCCTGAGCTGGTGGGTGATGTTGAGAGGATCCGGCAAGAAATGGTCAGATTAATTTTGACACACAGCTCTGGCTCTTGACGAGCCTCCTTAAGAGAGGGATTGAACACTCTCTCACTCTAAAGAAGAGAGAGGAGGAGCTGGCTTCGATGGTTTGGAAAGATACCGGCCAAACCTGTTAGGCACAAACATATTCTGAGGGTCTACTTCAAACATCTGGTAGACTCTACTGCTCTGTAGAGGTAAAACTCCCACCTCTAGGAAAACCTCAGGCACGTTCTTGAGAAGGTGAGGGACACTGAATCCAAGTGGGCCATGTTCTGCACCTCCATTGTTAAGGCAACTCATCAGAGCTTGCTGTAAGGTTGCTGGTGCATGTTGCAGCTGCAACCCTCAAACCTGCTGGTGGACATAAGTGGGACATCCTCCCAGCATGTCTCACCAGGCTATTGGACCCCAGAATGAGCTAATAGGTACCGGCTGTCCAAGTGGCATGGAAACTCCCTGCGGTCTGTGAGGCAAAAACCTGGGTGTTCGTATAGGCCATGGAAAAAGAATTCGATATGGTTTTGAGGCAATTTTCTAAGAAGGTGAAAGCAGTACAGCACAAACACTGTTTATATTGAGGATTGTGTGCTCCCAACCATGACTATGGATGTTGTGGATCGGCGGTCAGAGTACTTTGAAGACCTCCTTAATCTCGTCAGCACGTCTTTTCATTTAGGAAGCTAAACATAGGACTGAGGTCACTGTGGTGGTTAAAAAGCTCCTCTGTGGCAGGGCCCCAGGGGTAGATGACATTCACCCAGAGTTCATTAAGCCTTTGGATGTTGTGGTGCTGTGTTGGTTAACACATGGATGGATGGATGGATGGATGGATGGATGGATGGATGGATGGATGGATGGATGGATGGATGGATGGATGGATGGATGGATGGATGGATGGATGGATGGATGGATGGATGGATATTTGGTTTTAAATCTTTATCATCAACACATGTTGTGCGGCTGAAAATGTGCTAACAGGTTAGCTAAACTTGGCTATCTCATTGTAGCAAAACAAAAGCACCACCTACCATTCTTCATCATACTTGAGATGTTGGACAAAGCTGGGAGTTTCCTCTGTGATTTTCTTCTTACATGTGTTGGATATTGTATTAGATTTTATTTGTTAAAAAATTTTGAAATCTTTGGAGCTTCTTTGTTTTGTTTTATTTATTTTTTTATTTAGTTAATTTAGTTGGCTGTGCTACAGCTAATTTACACATAGTGTTCATACAAAGTGGTCAAAGACAAATAGATGTCCTGCTTTTGTCAATATATCAATATTTGTTAATAATCAGTCAGTTTTTGTTTCAGTTCTGGTAACTAAGTTAACTAAGTTCTGGTAAAGGCTAACTTAAAGCTAAATTATTATTAAGTAAAGTGACTCAAAGTCAATAAATTATTGCTTAACATTGGCTTATGAGTTTTGATATTAGATTATTTTACAATTTTTATTAGCACAGAAATCAGTGAAATCTTAAAAAAAAAAACTCAATCTATCAGGTGGCTAAATGTCTAAATGTTTTTCTGTTCACTTCAGGTGCAGCAGCGTCAGATAAAGCAACCTCACAACAAAGCCCCTCAGGTACCGTAATAAACAAGTTTGCATATGATTGTAAATGTTGTTTTTTAAAGAAAATTTTAAGTTTTTTTAATGAAAGTTTGAAATCATGTTTTGATATCTCCTTTCTTTTTTCAGAGTATATCTCTCGTAAAAATGGTACGTAACTGCAGCGCTAGTAAATATGAGGTAGAACTTCTTTACCTTTGTCTAAGACAAAAAAAGGATGATGCAATAAGTTTATTAGAAAGCCAAAGCCAAGTAGCCCTCACCATACAGACACACAGCAAATAGATAAGATATATATATATTCTCAGTAACTATATTTCTAGAGGTGCTATTGACCTGACATTTCCTCCACATGTCTGTATCAATCCACACATACAAAGAAATCAAACATAGATATCCAGCAATTAAGTTATGATTAATGATATGGAATGGCACAGGGGAAAATATTGAACATGCAAAAGGGAGGTGCAAAAAGGCATGGAAAGCCAAGACAGCAGCTGAAATATCTCAGTAGTTAGAAAGCAATCCTGCCCATTGTAAGTGCAATTTAAAATCAGCTGGTTCAATCCCAAATGATGGCCTATAAAAAGGTGTCTCTGGTATCACACAAAAAAACTCCTAATAATGGGTAAAAGTAAAGAGATTTCTTAAGACCGTTACAGCCTTACTGTTGCAAGTCATAATGATGGCATTGGATACAGAAGGATTTCTAAACTTCTGAATGTTCCAGTGAGCACTGTTGTTGTCATAGTAGGAGCATGTCCACTGTGAGAGACATAATCTAGAAAAAAATATCAGAAATCAAAATCAATCATTTTCAAACTATGTATTTGTATGATACTGCTGCAAATAAGAATTGATTATATGAGAAAATCAATGTTAATATTTGGCATAGTAGCCTTTCTAAGTAGGTCTAACTAGTTTTTCACCAGGTTTGCACACACTGCAAACCTCCCTCCAAAGATTCCCTATTGGGTTTAGGTCTGGAGAGTGGCTAGATATCTCAGGTAGGCTCAAGTAGGAAACTTGGGGAAAACCTGCATCTATGTCCATCGTTCGACTCATTATATGTATAAAAAGAGTAGTTAGTTAACTTTTAATGAGGGTAATAACCCACCTTAAAGAGGAGAAAGGAAATCAACATCTTCTCTCGAATATTGAATAAGGAAAAACAATTACACGGAAAACAAAAGCTAAATAAAATACTAAACTCAGTAAAGAGCCAGGAGGCATCTGCTCTCTACTGGTTATCTGAATGTTTTTTTTCTGTATTGCAATTAATGGTTATTTATGATGGAGTGATCATTAAAACAGCACCTAAACCCTTTCTAATAATTGAGGACAGAGACTCTGTCCATGTTGCTGACTTTATTACTTTTTACTTGATCTGAACAAGGAAGTTTTTTTGCATTAGTTTTCTTTTCTCTTTTTTTTTGCTTCTTTTTTTTTGCATTTTACATTTTTTAATCTTGGTTATAGTCATTTAGTGATTGAGCTTTTTTTGGATTTCTTTTGTCTGCCATCATTTTCGTGTTGTTTATGTTGACCTGTTTTTAACATTTTGGTTAGTTCATTTTGTTGTTGTTTGTACAGTTTGATTAATTAATTGATTGATCGATTGATTGATAGATAGATTGATTGATTGGTCGATTAATTGATTGATTGATCGATTGATTGATTGATTAGCTTTATTGATCTCACAGTGGAAAAATTTACTCGTTACATCGGCTCGATAGTCAAAAAAAGAAGGTGCCAAAATGTGCATGGGGGATATATACAGTATATAAAATGTGTATATACACAATATACATAGCAGCTGAAGTTTCTTATATAGCAGGATTATTATACAGGGTTATTGCACTGGGTATTAAATGGGTATTTATATAGATGAGTATTTATATATATATATATATATTTATTGCACAGGTTATTGCACAGGGTATGAAATAGTAATTGCACATTAGACATGCTAAAAGTTATTGCCGTTGTAGTGTCGATTGTAGAGTCTGATGGCAGCAGGGATGAAAGACCTCTGGTAGCGCTTCTTTTCACTAACAGGGTGTAAAAGTCTTTTACTAAAAGAGCTGCTTAGGTCCTCTACAGTCTGGTGCAAAGGGTGAAAGGGTGTTCTCCATGATGGATGTAAGCCTGGACAGCACCCTCCTCTCAGCCACTTCCTCCACTGAGTCCAGAGTGCAGCCTGGGACAGAAACAGCCTTTCTCACCAGTTAGCTTAATCTCTTTCTGTCCCGCTCTGCGCTGCCAGGGGCCCCGCAGACGGCAGCATAGAGGAGGGCTGATGCCACCACAGAGCCATAGAAGGTTTGAAGCAGGGGCCTACTCACTCCAAAGGATCTCAGGAGTTGGAGGCGACTCTGGCCCTTCTTCTATGGGGCGTCGGTGTTATGAGTCCAGTCCAGTTTATTATTAAAGTGAACACCCAGCTATTTGAAACTCCACAGTTTCTACGTCCTGTCACTGGATGTTCACGGGGGAATGAGGTGGGGATCTTTTCCTGAAGTCAATCACCATCTCTTTGGTTTTACTGTTAAGACATAGGTGGTTCTTCTCACACCAGTCCACAAAGTTCACGATGAACGACCAGTACTCCAGCTCGTTCCTCTCAGAAACACAGCCCACAATGGGGGGGTCATCCGAGCACCTCTGGAAATGGCAGCTATCTGCTTTGTAGGTGAAGTCCGAGGTGTAGAGGGTGAAGAGGAATGAAGACAGAACGGTGTCCTGGGGGGGTCCCAGTGATGCAGATTGCCACCTCTTACCAACAGCCATGCAGCGGCACGTACTGAGAGCATTTAGTGAGGTAGTTGATGGTCCAGGCAGCAAGATATTTGTCCACTCCAACTTCCTCCAGCTGCCCCCTCTGCAGCAGCGGTCTGATGGTGTTGGCTAGTGTGAGGGGAGTCAAATTGGGTGAAGAAAGTTTTATTATTCAGTGTAACCACTATAACTTTAATCCAATTATCTTTTTCAACAATCTTCCAGAAACCCGAGCCAACAGAGAGCATCTGGAGGCCAAGCTCTTCTGTGGGATCCCCAACAGAGACATAGTGGATGACACAGAAACGGATGTGCGAGGACGGACCAGCCGTAGGAAGAGAGTGGTGGGAGGAATCCCGGCGAATCCGGTCAGTAACGCTCACTATCACATCTAAGTTTTAAATGTACAAGGTCTTATCTTCAGAGAAGCCATACACATAGCATGAATTATTTCGGGCAGAATACAAGGGGATCTTAGAGTGCTGTAAAGAAGCTCTGTGGGCCGCAAGACAGAATCAGCAAAGGATACGACCCTCTCAAGTTGCATAGGCGAGTTTATGTGAAGAATAACCCAATTAAGCTTTGATGCACTTCGAGTGCTGAATACCAACCTGAAAAATCATTTATTATATCACGCCTGTGTAAATTCTCAGTCATTAGGGTCCATGGCACTGACAGAACAGGCCTAAATAGGATTAATTGATTAATATGTAGCTGGAGCACTGATGTTTTTTGGCCGCATGCAAAATAACATGCAAACGCATTATGTACAAATAAATAAAAAAATAAATTTCCAACACTTTAAGTAAAATTGTAAATGAAGCTTAGATTCTCTTACCAAAGGCCTGCCTTTAACCAAAGCTTAGCTCCACTGTACTGAAGATAATACTAACCTCTACCTCTAACCTTGTTAAAAACTGGGTTCTTTCGTCGGTCGGATTTTGTCCCAATTTAGTCCAATGATAATATTTTCTTCAAGGAACTGAAAATTTCGGCTTTTCACCTTTCACTTTTCAGCCAAATGTAGACTTAGTTTGGACGTAAATCATGCAGTCCTTTCAACAAATTTTTGCTCAGTGAGTAGCACTCGCCATTCTCTCTAACCCCCGACCCACCTACTTACATTTACCTTATATTCTAAAACCTTATTATCAGTCGCTGTTGCCTTCCACTATGGATGATTATAAGTTAGTCCTTTTATCAAGCATCCATGCTGTTATCTTAACCTTTCAAAAATGCATATAGTCATAGTTTATTAGATACTGTTTTAGGGCTGAAATGAAAGCACATTCTTAATGCAAAGGTCAAAAGTTTGATGTCAGGAGTTTCGAAGCATCTCTTGAAAATGACTGTGAATCCACCTGATGTTTGTGAAACCTGACAGTCCGTCTCCCTGCTGTTCTGCAGACTCAGATCCAGTGGCAGGTGGCTCTGGAGGAGAACCGGAGGATTGACTGTGGAGGAGCTTACATTGGAGGCTGCTGGGTCCTCACAGCTGCTCACTGTGTCAGGTAGCTCAGAGTATACTGTAGGGAATTTCAGTAAAGAAACTTCTCAATGTCTAATGTTTTACTGACAGTCCATCTCATTCCAGGTGTTATTTTGATGTATGCAGGGGTTATATTATTGTTTCTTAAAGTATTAAGTTGTTTTTTTACCTCTGACATTTCTTTACCAGGCAGAATCCCTCCGCATTTAAAGTCAAGTTTTCTCTGTGGAAGAAATTTAGAGCTCAAGGAACGACGGACATTGTTCCTGTGGAGGACATCCGCATCCACCCAAAGTATGAGTCCAGCTAAGCACAGATTCTGAGGACAGTTACACATTATGGTAAACCTTCATTTTTACTGACTCTCTCTGTTTGGACGTCCTGCAGCTACGTGCCTGCCACATATGAAAACGACATTGCTCTAGTAAAGCTGGAGAAGCTTCCATTCAAAGAGGAATGCCTGGAGGACAACCCGGCTGTCAGAGCCGTGTGCGTCCCCTGGACCACTCAACTGTTCCAGCCCAACCACACCTGCAGCATCTCAGGGTGGGGTCGCACAGCAGGTATGAGCATTACCATTGAGGGAAGAAAAAAAATGTCTCCAGTGTTCATAGGAAAAGAAACACAGAGTAGCAGGATCTTTACCGAGTTAAGAAAAGCATTTTTATTTATTTTTTTACCTCAACTCCCTCAAAAAATTGTCAATACACATGGCAAACCAGTAAGGGGCAATACGTTTATGTAAGACTTAAAAAAAAAAAAAAAAAGAAACATGAAACCTCTTGGAAACACGTAGTCCCACCTAAATAAAATCAGGCTCCGTCGGACTTCAAAGTTTTCTCTCCTTTCGTGAGGCCAACAGTAAGAATGTTATCCAGGGCAGGAAAGGAGTTCAGGTCCATGGAAAGCATCCTGCTTCCTAATCCCGGCTCCTTCCAGCACTGTTCGGAAAGCACTTATCATGGCGACCACGGCCATCCGACAGGGAGGGACGGGTGTCGCAGGTGTCGGGGGGGCCGGTGGAGCGTGTGTTTGAGGAGGAGACAGAGAGCCGTTCCTACCGAGAGACAGTGCAGGTGGAGGGGCTTGCTGCCGGATCAGAAAGTCTGACATAGTGGCTCAGAGACGGATCACGCCGTTAATTTCAATGATTCTGCGCTGTGGCCAACAACAACGACTGATTCTGTTTGATTGAATGTTGTACGTTTAAAAGGAAGTCTTTCTCAGAGACGGCAAATGAACTGCTAGCAGATTCAGAGGGCAGAGAATTCCCAAAGTATCTAACCTGTTCCACCTCCCACAATGGAAGGGAAAACACGTTAGGGCCTCGCTGATATACAGCAGGTCAAAAAAGGCCATACTTTGCCGGCCATTCTTGCTGTTCTCCTATGAAGTAGAGAAAAGATCAACTAGTCCACTAAATTCAATAGATGGGTTGAAAATACCCAACATAAAACACAGAAAGTTTTATGAAAGATTTCCAGGGAAAAGTGTAAAGGGGGTGCAAGAAAGACTGTGTTGTCCCGGTCGTGGCAAAGCTGTCAGCTGACCTGATGGCGACCCCTGATGCACCGCCGCTTTGGCTAAAGCGTTCTTACTGATTTAATGAATTCAGTTGGAGTCCTTTTTGGTATAATGAAGGAGGTAGGAAAAAGAAGCCTGATTCTTTCTATCAATATGTTATTCGCAATAGGGTCCGCCCAGCATTCCTATCCACTGCTTAGGAGCTACGGATTCCCACAATCATTTGCATGGCAGGACTTATAGGCACCGCCCACCTCAGAGAGTTCAACATACAGGTGCTGGTCATAAAATTAGAATATCATGAAAAAGTAGATTGATTTCAGTAATTCCATTTAAAAAGTGAAACTTGTATATTATATTCATACATTACATACAAACTCATATATTTCAGATGTTTATTTTGTTTAATTTTGATGATTACAAATGACAACAAATGAAAATCTCAAATTCATCATATCAGAAAATTAGAATATTACTGAAGACCAATAAAAACAAAGGATTTATAGAAATGTTGGCCAACTGAAAAGTATGAACATGAAAAGTATGAGCATGTACAGCACTCAGTATTTAGTTGGGCCTCCTTTGGCCTGTATTACTGCAGCAATGCGGCGTGGCATGGAGTCGATCAGTCTGTGGCACTGCTCAGGTGTTATGATAGCCCAGGTTGCTCTAATAGTGGCTTTTAGCTCTTCTGAATTGTTGGGTCTGGTGTATTGCATCTTCTTCTTCACAATACCCCATAGATTTTCTATGGGGTTAAGGTCAGGAGAGTTTGCTGGCCAATTAAGAACAGGGATACCATGGTCCTTCAACCAGTTACTGGTAGCTTTGGCACTGTGTGCAGGTGCCAAGTCCTGTTGGAAAATGAAATCTGCATCTCCAAAAAGTTGGTCAGCTGCAGGAAGCATGAAGTGCTCTAAAACTTCCTGGTATGTGGCTGCGTTGACCCTGGACCTCAGAAAACACAATGGACCAACACCAGCAGATGACATGGCACCCCAAACCATCACTGACTGTGGAAACTTTACACTGGACTTCAAGCAACGTGGATGAAGTGCCTCTATTCTTTTCCTCCAGACTCTGGGACCTTGATTTCCAAAGGAAATGCAAAATTTACTTTCATCAGAGAACATGACTTTGGACCACTCACCAGCAGTCCAGTCCTGTTTCTCTTTAGCCCAGGCAAGACGCTTCTGACGCTGTCTGTGGTTCAAGAGTGGCTTGACACAAGGAATGCGACAGCAGAAACCCATGTCTTTCATACGTCTGTGTGTGGTGGTTCTTGAAGCACTCACTCCAGCTGCAGTCTACTCTTTGTGAATCTCCCCCACATTTTTGAAGGGGTTTTGTTTCACAATCCTCTCCAGGGTGCGGTTATCTCTCTTGCTTGTACACTTTTTTCGACCACATCTTTTCCTTCCCTTCGCCTCTCTATTAATGTGCTTGGACACTGAGCTCTGTGAACAGCCAGCCTCTTTAGCGATGACCTTTTGTGTCTTGCCCTCCTTGTGCAAGGTGTCGATGGTCGTCTTTTGGACAACTGTCAAGTCAGCAGTCTTCCCCATGATTGTGTAGCCTATAGAACTAGACTGAAAGACCATTTAAAGGCTTTTGCAGGTGGTTTGAGTTAATTAGCTGATTAGAGTGTGGCACCAGGGGCCATCAATTTTGAACCTTTTCACAATATTCTAATTTTCTGATATGATGAATTTGAGATTTTCATTTGTTGTCATTTGTAATCATCAAAATTAAACAAAATAAACATCTGAAATATATGAGTTTGTATGTAATGTATGAATATAATATACAAGTTTCACTTTTTAAATGGAATTACTGAAATCAATCTACTTTTTCATGATATTCTAATTTTATGACCAGCACCTGTATTTCTTCCCATGTTCTGTGTGTGACACATCTGATGTACACACCTGCATATCTTTTGGCTTTTACTATAGAGCTTCAGCTATTCAATAAGTGTGCGTAACTTTGTTTTTTGTTCCTTTTCATCAGGTAATAACGTTTCTCTCCTAACCATGATACTGCTCTTACTTTTGATAGGAGCTAGGAGCTACAGTTTGTAATATTTGGATTGAGGGTCATGTTTTCATTTAGTGTCTAACATTGTTTCCACAGACATTAACTTGTTAGTCAATGCTTGAAGTTGACTTTATCCAATGAGCTGGAAATAGGAAGTAAAAACAGCCCATTTGGTGCCTATTTAGATCCAAACGCAGCAGCTTTGACCCTTTAATGATTTAATGTGAAAAGGTACAGAGTAAAGCCATCAGATATCTGCATTTCTGAGGAAATGACCTCACAAGGAAGATGGTGACCTTAGGTCAGAGTAATCAGCTTTATGGTGTGACTCGAACATCCACTGAAGTTAGAATTCTGATTTGGAAAGTCATAACTTCCTCACCAATCCCAACCATACTATATTTAATATGGCTGCCACAGGCTTAAAGCAGAGTAATTACTACACATATATACTTGTATTTGTCTTTTTGATGCATTTAACATTTTTTAATCAGCGGTTAATATAATTGTACACATCGCATTCAAAGTATAAACTAGAGAGAAGTAGGGCTGAAACAATCCGATTAATCGAATATTGGAATAATCGTCAACTAATTTAGTAATCGATTAATCGTTAACTGGAGTGTAGAGACTCTAAAACATGCCTTAACCTGACAGAGCGACCCACTTAGAGCAGGAATTATACCAAAAACAAAGCATTAAATAAACATTTTGCATTTACAATCAAAACAAAAAAAAAGTGTTTGTCAATATGCTCCATCCTCCTGAAGTGTTCTAATTTAATAAAAAAAAATATTCTTTAAAAAACATTTGGCTATTCAATTACTAATCAATTCATCGAATAAATAAACAGATTTGTTAAAATGCAAAATAATCGTTAGTTGCAGCCCCAGAGAGAAATAATATGCTGATTTTATTGCTAGTAGTAACCTTATTACTGAGCACAATGATTATAAAATCCCAGTAATTAAAAAGAAAATTGTATAAATGATATGTGACATTCTTCTGGGTCAAATTTTAATAAAAAAACAAATAATCTTCAAAATTATTTGTTCAAAATTCAATTCTGCATTCTTTAAATGAAAAAGCATTTCTGGAAATGCTTTTTCATTTTAAATAGGTAATGATTTGCTTCCATAAGTATCGCAGAAGGAAGCAACTGGAAAAAACTCACTTGTGGTTTGAATATCTGAGTTTATAGCTGATTTTACAATGCTGACCCAGTAAACCTTTGTAGCACTTTCATCCAATTAGAGCTGTAGGAGAAAACACAGCCAACATAAAGCAAATTAAAGGGTTTATTTCGTTAAAACAAAAATCTAGCTGACAATAAGGTAAATCCATGATGAAGTTTTGAAGGCTTTCTTTTAATAAAGAACATACATGCTGAGCTGAACCCCAAACAGACTAAGTCTGTGAAGTCTGATTTATTGGTTTTTGTTTATGATTGTTTTGCACAGATGGGAGGTCTGCTCAGGTGCTGCTGTGGGCCAACGTGTCGCTCATCTCCGGCTGTGAATCTGCCTATGGGGATCGCTTTAAACCAGGGATGATGTGTGCAGGTGAGTGCCGGCAAGTGCCACCGGAGCCAGCAGCTGTGATGTGGTGTTAAAGGCGTGAGCTGGTTTGGTTTGTGTGCAGGCGACTTGGAGGGCAGCGTGGACTCGTGTCAGGGCGACAGCGGCGGGCCTCTGGTGTGTGAGGATGAGCTCGGGGTGTCCTACCTGTGGGGCATCGTCAGCTGGGGAGAGAGATGTGGGCAGCAGGGGTTCCCAGGAGTTTACACACAGGTAATGCCCCCTTTTCTTTGCCTAGGAGTTTATAAATAGCATGGAGACCAAGGTGAATCTGGTTTCTTCTCCTCCTGGCAGGTTGCACACTACTTTGAGTGGATCCGACTTCACACCGGCTGGTCTGCAGTCACCAGGTTTAATTCCTAAATAGCTTCTCATCGCTGCTGCAGCTCACACCCATCACCCTGTTGGAGACTTTTAACCGTTAAGCCGATTCTAGAAAACACTTTTGTTCTGCTTCATATCGCTGTTAAAATTTTGGATAATTATAACAATTTCAATACATTCAGACTGATTTTTTACATATTGTCTCAGCATTTTTTGTGGTGTTCAAATTAGATGTTTAGTTCACAATAAAACAGCATATAAAGGAATTTACAACTATGCAACAAGTGATCGTTTCATAGAGGATCTTTATGCTCATGCCGGTTGTTTTGACAACAGTCTAACCGATCCCCGATACGTGCCGCTGATTTGTCTGTAAGCCCAGTCTTTAGGCAGACATTGCTATCTCTTCCTTCATTAGATGACCATAATAAAAAATGGTTCAAAGTCTGCAAACAAAAATAAAGATTTATTAAGGAATCAAAGGAGCTTTCAGACTCAAATTTTTAAAAGCATTGTAAAATATTGCAGGGTTTTATATATTCCCAAACCATGTGTTTTTACAAACCATTTTTAGCCAATGAGACTTTTTCAAAAAACCAGACTCCAAGTGATTAACTGAACAAGCCCAGGCCAAACCCAAGCTTAAAAAGTCCAGTGATTTTTATTTTTTACTTTTTGGGAAAGAGATAAGGTAACATTTGGGCTACAAAGGTTGATAAAACTTGGACCTTAGAAGGTTGTTTGATGGGTCTTATGGATGCATCCCAGCAGATGTAACTGAATGATTTCCAGGAGCTTTATCAGGATTCCTTCAATCTGATCGAACAGTTTTAAACCAGGCCTGAAGAAATGTGACGTGGATTTCTATATAAAATATAAATTGCTTTCTGGGATTTTATGCATGTTTTCAGCAAACCTTTATGGATAAATCCTGGAAATCTTTGGCATATTTCTGATTGATCACCTATTTTATCGAGACATCAAGTGTTTTTTCAACCTTTTTCCTAAATCTTAATATAAAGAAATTTAACAGAAGATTAAAGCTCTTAATAAAGATGAGCAGAAACCAGCGTTTAAAACATTTTCTCGGATGAGACAGTAAAGTAAATCGGCTTTCATAAAAAATAATCAAATGCCTAAAAAGTGCAAACATGTCATTAAGGGGATGGAGGTTAAAGTTCAGGTGGATCTCTGAGGTTGAATCTGATTGACTGGCAGCTGCAGCTGAATGGCGCTCCTCAGTCTTCGCAGGTCGTCCTCCACCTGGACACAAAATGATGGACGTAATAAGCTCCTGTGGGTCTACAAATCTCAAATCCAGGAGATGACGCATTTTGACACCAGATTTTGCATTGAATTCATCATTTTGGACTCATTTATCGATCCGACACCAAAAAGGACTCTTAGTGGTTAGTGGTCACCATGATACCTGCTGTCTGAATAGTGCTGGAAGTAAGGAAGGGGGAGGAAAAGGATGCAAGATGCTTCCTACCATAGCTTGTTAAGCATAGGGACCTGCTGACGTTCTTTTCTGTTGATAAGCAGCTATCCTTTGTGTGAGAGGATGTTAAGGCAGAGACTAATGGTGCGTTCACACTGAATGCAAACACTGTCTGCTTTTGATCATCTTGAAATTTGCCTGTCCAATAAAAGCAATTCACAAGGCAGGCGAATTCGATTGGTCAACATCCGCTCTACTCTATGCGTATTTCCTGTTTGGCATCTTATTGGCTTGTTTTGTTTGTATGACCGCCATTGTTTAAAACGACTCCTGCAATTGGACTAGGTAGAAGACTGAGGTGCGCGAGAACGCTGGGACCCTTTTTCTACCTGGATCCGTCACACCAAGCTTGCTTGTAGCGACAGTGGAGAGGAAAAAATCCCTTTTAACAGGAAAAAACCTCCAGCAGAACCAGGCTCAGTGTGAGCGGCCATCTGCCGAGGCCGACTGGGGTTCAAGGAGACAGAAGCAGAGATAGAAAAAGAAGCTGTAAAAGGAAACACACAGCCAGGCAGACGAATATATTTAACTTAACAGCTACTAAGAAAAACATAGTGCTTTACCAATCCACTTATACACTCAATGAATCATGGGAAATATGAGCCATGAAGGATACTCTAGAAGCATCCTGTAAACTGGACAAAATATATTTCATTCTCCATGGTAACGGCCAGTGTTGGGCACGTTACTTTAAAAAAGTAATTAGTTATAGTTACTAGTTACTTCTCCCAAAAAGTAACTGCGTTACTAACTGAGTTACTCCACTATAAAAGTAACTAGTTACCAGTAAAAGTAACTATTACGTTACTTTTTCGTCTCTCTCTCCCATACCCCCCCCACCTTCTCAAGGCTTGTTTCATAAGCTAGATGTGAAACAACAAAGACAAGTGCCTGCACAGAGGTTTGCATTTATTGCAACTCAACATAAACAACAGCGGATGGACATACACTTCTCAAAATATATATAAAAAAAGAGAAATACACAGTCTAACAGAGGCTTTGAACTGAACTGAAAATATATACGGATTTCTTCAATCCAATTTAAAGTGCATAAATGAATCCGTTCATTTTGCATTTGTACAATCATTTATCCACACAGCCAACCCAGTTGTCTCACCAACAGCAAAGACGGTTACCTGCACAAACTTCCACTTAACGCAACTCTAACTTACCAGAACTAGTACACAACAGATGGATATAAAGTGCTCCAAATTTTTTTCTTAAAGAAAGTAAACAGCTTACAGGAGTGCAAATTGAACTGGAAACGTTCATGGGTTTGTTAAATCCAACTCTAAACATGAATGCATTCCTCTCTCCATCCATCCACCCAGCCCAGTCATGTCAACGTTTTAGCCCTGAAACCAGCGGTTGTATCGCAAGAGAAGAAGCTTCTCAAACTTGTGGTCAGAGAGTCTGTTCCTTTTTGGTGTGAAAACCAGCTTCCCCAGGCTAAAAAGTCTCTCCACCGGAGCACTGGATGGAGTGGCAGCATTATACTTCAGGGAAATTCTCTTTATAAGGGGAAATCCATGAAGTGAGTCAATCTCTTGAGCTCCTGATTTAAAATAATCTGCCACTTGACTTTCTGCAGTAGCAGAAGTGTCATCCTCTTCATCAAAGGAGAAGAATGCATCTTCAACAGTTGAGCTGGTACATGTGGGTGTGGTGGTGCTTGTACCTTTATGCTGGTCTTCACTTCTTACACTTGCACGACATACCGCCAGCAGCTCTGCTTTGGCCTTGTCCTTTCTTTCTTGGGTTCGCAGCCAACGTAACTTGAACCTGGGCAGTCACAGCAGCCAGGAGAGCGCTGTCACTGTCCAGCACCTCTGCAAATCTTGTTTTTATTGCCTGAAATGACATAAAGCAAGGGTGTAAAACTCATTGTGGTTTAGGGGCCGCATGCGGCTTAATCTTATCTCAAGGGGGCCACACAAGTAAACTCATTGCAAGATTAAATAGAATTAATAATAAGTAATTAATAACTAGTAATAAGGGGACTTGTTGGTTTTTATATTAAATGAATTTAACTTTTAGACAATATGTGATGAATAACCTCAGCGTTTTTAAGAAATATGTGCAAGTATGTGCAATTTCAACAATACTTTTACTCAGTGAAACATTTATTTAAGTGCATTATGCGTGTGAGCTGATCACAGTGATTGATGTTGAAAAACATTTATTCAGATTTTTTGGAAATTAAAAACACTGTCCTGCATGAAAAATACATCAAACAGATACAAATTATGAAAATATCGGACTAAATCATTCGGCGGGCCGGAACCGGCCCGCGGGCCGCATGTTTGACACCCCTGACATAAAGCAAAGAACACATTACTGACTGTCTCTACACAAATACAAACTCTCTCTCACCCACTGTCACTCACACACGCACACACACACACACACACACACACACACACTTTGAGTACAATATATAATACACTAAACAATTATACACATGTATTATAATTATACACAATCTATACTATTATACACATTATACACAATTTAAAAAAAAATAGACATATGTAGTTCTTACCTCCACAATTGCTTCTGGAAGGTCCACAAGTATTTGAAGCCCACTCTTCAGCTTGATGGTTTTCATCATCAAGGTCTCCAGGGTAGGTAGCAGTGTGCCGAGGTAGCAGTTGTCCTCTCCCTGGAGGATATCTAGGGCGACTGTCAATGGCTTCATTGCGATGCAATATTCCTTCAGGAGCTGATGCTCTTTTTCTGTGATTGCTTTTGAGCCAAACTTGGATGAGATGGTAATGAGGTCCACTAAGGGAATCTCGCAAATCCTAGCTAGAGCATCATAGAAAGAATTCCATCTGGTACTGCAAGGCACTATCAGCTTCTTTGCAACCACATCCTCTACTGTCTCTGCAGCCACTGTGGAACGGCTGGCCTTATTCCACAAGGCTGTGCATTTTGCAGTTGCACTTCTGTAAAGTGCCTTCTCTGGTCTGGAGAGAATCCACTTTTCAATGTCAGAACATGACACAAGGTTCAGTGTGTGTGATGCACACCTGTAGTGTGGTGGTAAATTAATCACATCCTCATCCTCATCAACACGGGCTTGCAAGACATCATTTATGTCAACAAAAGTAACCTCTTCACCTTCCTCATCAACAGAGTCATCATCCTCGTCAACTGGTTGTGGCTGATATTTCTTAAATGCCTTAACGAAATTCAAGACATTATCAGTGATAGTTGCCGTTATTTTGTGCGAAATGCCATAAGACGAGTGGATGTTATCAAGTTCTGTGGCAATGCTCTCGTGGGTATGACGACCCTTAAACCGTCGGCATGCCAGGGCCGCTTTTTTTCGTTGCATGTTTACTGGATGCATCCAGTTTGCAGTTACGCCTAGGTAGCTTTTGTTATGTGCTGTCCATATATCTGCAGTTGTAGCCAAGTATTCCATTTGCTCGAATTCTTTTTTTAGCTCAGCATTCATGTTAGCATATTCGGTATCAATGTAATTCGAAAACGTCTTTCTACAGAGCGGACCAACGCCTCCTTTTCTTGGGATTTTGCCTATCAACGCCCTGAAGGAGTCTGACTCCACTGTTGATACCGGAAGCATGTTTTCCACAACGTATCTCCCAATCAAGCCATAGAGCTCTGTCTGAGATAGTTTCTGGGGAGCAGAGGCACTAAATTCAAGTTTTTGTTGCTTGCATGGGGAGGGTCCTTCCTTGTTAGCGGATCCGTTGTAAACACTAGCCCGCCTACTACCTGTGTATTCTTGGGCCACTAGTTTGGTTGAAGCGTGAGCCGTCGACAGATGCTTCATTAAGTTGGAGTTGGAGAAGACGTGGACAAATATTTCGCTCTGGGACATAATTTGCACTCGACGTGTACATTTTTACCTTTAACCTCAGTTAGTTTAAAATAGTGCTGATATTTCCATCTGGAAAAGGCTGTTTTGCAGCTGGAGTGCTCCTCACTCGCCATCTCTCTCTCTGTGTGTGTGTGGCTGTAAGCACTAAACACCCACCTATGTGAATGCGGAAACACCCACCTACCCAATTTCTGTGATTGGCTGAAGACGTCATCTCACTATACATCAGCCAATAATTGTTGAGAGGTTATCTCATTCTCCCTTCTCTCATGACAACATGCAAACGAGACCTATCATTAGGGATGGGAATCGAAAACCGGTTCCTGTTCAGAACCGGTTCCGTATTTTCCGATTCCATGGCATCGTTTGGCAGCTCTCTGAACGATTCTTTTTTCGATTCCCGCAGCACCAGAGCATAGAGCGCCGGCTCTGGGGAGCACGACTTACGTCACGTTTTTTACGTAAGTTACGTAAGTTACGCAAGTTACGCAAGTTGGAAGAACTATTCGAGGAGGAAGACAACGAGCTGCGGTCACTTTGTGAATCAAAGCCCCGTCTTTCCTTAGCCCAGAGGGTAGATCAGGAAATCCAGCTCTATAAAAGCTTGCCCTCCATCCCCTGCAGGGATAGCGCCACACTGTGGTGGTGGAACAAGCAAGATGTGCTGCCCTTGCTATCTGGACTGGCTGAAAACTACCTCTGTGTGCAGGCTTCCTCCACCCCATCTGAGAGGGTGTTCTCCACGGCTGGAGACACCATAAGCCCTGAAAGATCCCGTATCCTTCCAGAAAAGCAGATATGCTGATCTTTCTGCAAAAGAACTGTTAATTTTCCCTACTACTGTTTTATAACTAGTATTTTTTGTTATTTAAAATAGGTTATTATCCCATCATTTGTTATTAGACATTGTTGGTTATTAAGTTTGTTCTTGTATTCATTTTTTATTTAAACACGGATGTTACTCCAGTTTCACATTTCCTGTGGACATCTTGATCTTGTTGAGTTTGTAAGATTGTGCAATAGTTAAGTAAACAAAGTTGATGCTGATAATCAAACTGTTTGTTCTCCTTTTTTCCCCAAATTGGAATCGAAAAAAGAATCGATAAAGAATCGAATCGTTTCATAGAATCGAAAAGGGAATCGGAATCGTGAAAATCTTTTCAATTCCCAACCCTACCTATCATGAAGTGAAAAAAAGTTCATTGTGCGACTTCAGTAACGTACAGTAACGGGCAGTAACGGGGGTGTCGGCAATGATAACGGCGTTATAGTGACAGTCAAAGTAATTAGTTAGATTACTCGTTACTGAAAAAAGTAACGGCGTTAGTAACGCCGTTTATTTCAACGCCGTTATTCCCAACACTGGTAATGGCTCTTTCCAGAGCTGAGCAACAGCATGGCAAAGAAACATTTAATCATTTTGGTGTAAATTAATGAGCTACTAAAAAGCTTTTAAAATAACAAAAGGAAAAATCATACATCTTAAAAACACATCCATCACCTTTGCAAGCTTGTCTTTCAGCTTGTTGTACTCATCAACGTCAAACCTCTCCACTGACGCCTTCTTGTGGAAGTGGAGCAGGAAGTGACGATCCCAGACCTCGTGCATGACAAAATCCTGCAGAAACATTTCTTTCCTGTGAAACCCCGATCTAATGTCCACCAAAGCTGCATCCCACACATCTGGATCTGACCTGCTTGGTGAGGATGTAATAGCCGAAGAAGATCATGCTTGTGGTGCAAGATATGAAGAAGGTGACCGGCTCCATTACGTCCCAGGCGAACACGTACCTGGCACATATTTAGACAAAAACTCAGTGAAAGGCTGGTGAAGCTGCGGGAGTTAGTCTGTGGGGTGTAGCTGCTTACCAGGTGAGGTATCCCAGGAATCCCCCCTGCAGAGACAGGTAGGCCAGCCCCACCCACCCCAGCAGGGTCGCTCGACTCTCTGCTTCCTTCGCCATCAGCATTTTCACCTGATTTGAAAACAGAATGGGACCAAGAACTGCTGAACCAGAAGGTCACAGGGAAGGGACTGTAGCATCAACAGGAGGAGTCCTAAACGTCTTACAGTCTCTAGTGGCTTCAGCTGCTGTGTCAGCTTCTCCTTTTCCACCAGCAGCTCCGAATGCCTGAGATGTAACTGCTTAGGAAGACTCAGAGCAGCGTGGAGAAGGTGGACCGTATACTTCATGTCATCCAAACCCAACACGTGCTCATTGGACGAGCCTCACGGACAAACACAAGGTGGATTTACGGAATGAATGCAACAGAATGAAGATAAACATCAGAGCTTTGAGTGCCCCCTGCAGACGAGAGCAGGTTTTACCTTGTCCAAGCGAGCGAACGTTGTACATGTTGTCATTGAGGAGGATCTGAAAGTCATTAATGAGGACAGTTTCCATCAAAGTGCAGGAGGAGATCCTCTGTCCATCTGAGGAAAACAGTGGATGGTAATATTTTTAAGGACTGGTTGTGCAGTCAACAAGAAATCAAGGGGGTTAAAGTCCATCCACCAATATCAGCTGCTAACCCTAGCCACAAAAGCCACTGTTAAACCTGAAGGCTAACTGGTGAGCCACTCCGTAGAGCTTAAGATTGGTAACCTGACTCCGCCAGATGGATTTGCTCCGCATATCTATCTGGAAACCTTCCGTTGAAGTAATTTTGGGAAGGGGCGAAAATACTGGTTAGCTGATTGGCCTATGTTGGTGATAGACGGGCCAAATAAACCAATCAGATCAACGAAGCATATGACGTACTAACAGCCAGGCTACTCTTGCCGAAACCAGTCGAGAGAAGAGCAAAAACATCTTTTCCTCTGAGAAAAGCCTCCAGAGCAGCGTTTTGCTCTTCTTTCAGTGAAAAAATACTCTGTAATTCTGATAAAACTTGCTCGATAGCCACGCTAACGCTAGTTTCATCGGCTGAAGCCGCCATGTTCTTTAGACTAAACTGTCGTGCTTCTCGTTGTGTCACACCTCAACCCGCCTCAAAGCCAACGCTGATTGGACGTTCGTTTGGTGAACGGCTCCAAATTTTCTTTAACGGAGAGTCTCCAGACTGATTAGCGAGTGAAATCTTGAAAGCTTGAGAGATCAGGATGGTCTCACGAGGCTATAAGATTGGTGGATCAAGCTGTACAATGCACAGGGCAAGAAACAATATAATTTCGGGTTTTTAGATGGTGAAAATGGCGTTATAAGTTCTACCATTTCCCCATGACGTTGTTTTTTCTAAAGCATCTTTCCGCATGCAAATGGCTGCAGCTTCCTCTACCAAGTGGTTCCATGTTCTGCAAACTATGAATGCAAGATCAATCAGCATCACATCCAAATAGCTCAATAGAGAATCGTATAAAAAGCATGTATGCCGCCTGTGAATCATCCGTCGCTTCCACTGAAGCTCAAACCCTGTTGCACAGCATCTGATTTACATTCCCTCATAGGAGCAGCTTTTGTTTCTAAACTTGTATTTGGATTCTACTGTATGTTTTGCATGTCTGCAGTGAGTTAAAGATTAACAGTGGTGGAATTTGTGGGTTGATGCTGAGCTGAGGAAAGGAAGTGACAGAGCAGAGCCAGCTCTGCTAAGAGTATTTATTATAAATACACTACAGATGGCTGAAACATGCAGGACAGGATCCTCTTACCATCTGAGGAAAACAGCATAATACACCTCCTGCTAGTTTTATTGTTGGAAAGACAAAATTGCTTTGAAAATGGAAATTAATCACAGCAGTTTTGCTTAATCAAGGTCAGTTTGCAAAAATAAAAACCAGGTTAGTAATAAAGCGTGTTGCGTGCCTGATTTACAACAAAATATTCTTGATAAGGAAGGATGTCCTCCAACACAGAAAGCAGACTCAAGTTTGTTATCCATGCTCTACAGATGTTTACCTTTGTTTAACAGTGCAGCGCTTTCCACAGTAACATCCTTGGCTTTTATGTCCTGCAGCAAGTCGTCCACAGTGGTCAACATCGGCGTCAGAGTGAAACGGCATTTCTGACCTGCAGGGAGCTGCAGGGAGAGGACGGGGCGTCCAAAACTGTAGCGCAGAGAAACATCTGAAAGAAGAAGGATTAAGATACACAGCAGGTTAATGACAGACAGAACACTGAAGGCAATGATTGCTGGTGGAGATTCTCAGTCATCCAGGTCACAGTCACGCCAACAAAATAAAAAAGTTAAAAAACAAACCACTGGACTTTGTTTTCTAAGTTTGAAGACGTTTCGCTTCCCATCCAGGAAGCTTTTTTAATTCCAAATGTGTGGATTAGCTTTTGAGTTCCAGGCTTATATAATGGCCCAAACAAAAGCCTTGTTATGGCTTAGAAAACATTCACATTGAACCAAAAGTTGCATGTTTTCTAAGGCAATGAATATAATAAGCAGATTGATCTGTTTTGATGCAAATTAAGTAAAGGTAATTGGCTACAAACAAGAAAACTATATTACATTTTAGAAATGGATTTGATGCTGGAGAAAGTCTAAGGTATTTTTTTTTAGATGCATTTTGCAATAATTTGGTGTCTTGATTTATAATTAACTCTTAACTAAGAATTTCAGGGGTACCATATCAGGAGCCAACATGGGCAACATTTGCATTCAAACACAATATCTAGACAGATGATGTTCTTAAAATAATAATAAATCTTTATTTCTATACTACCGTCCCGGGGCAAGGGTGGGCATTGCTCTCCCTCAACTGGAAAATGTTTATTTTTCTAGGGTTTTTTGTTGTTGTTTTTACTCTGGAGTGGCGATTTTTTATCATTCCTGAAAGAGCCAATTTGGGACAAATTCATTTATAGTTTTAAAAATGGTTAAAATACAAGATTGATCATTTTGTTTGTTGTTAAGATTATAATTTAAGTGTAAAAAACTAATATTAAAAGCATAGAATATAGAAATGCAATTTGAAATGCATATTTTCTGGGCTTCCTGCATGCTGTAATTGTAGACGTGTACGTAAGGACTGAGGGAAAACAGATGTGCTGGAAGCAACACAGTTTTTGAACGAGTTTTTATTATACGAATGTGGATGTTCTCTTATTTTTGTTTTGTTTTAATAAACATCACAAGTTGAAGAACATTATCTGGAATTGCTCGCGTTTCAACTCTAGTTGCTAGACTGTTTTTCCATGCGGTACAGAAGAAACTAAAGGAGCTGGAGTGTCAATCACACAATTCAATCAATTCAAACAAATAGCAAAGGCAGGGGGCGGGTCATTGAGAAGGCTTTGGTCACCATAGCTGGTGTAGGAGGAGGCAGTGCAATTATGAAGCTAAGAAGAAGCTAAGATCTAAAGTTAACAAGGGAGTAAACGTTCATGCTTGGAGAGTTAGCTGCATTGGCAAGAAGCTAAAAGTGTAACTCAACCAGATGGAAGAAACATGAGTCATGACATCAAGGCTAAAACAACAAGTACGTACCATGAACAACATACTTACACCCCCAACCCCATCTTCTCTTTTCTTTTCTTTTTTCAGCTTTTTATTGTCATTACACTGTCACAAGTACAGAGCAAAGAAATGTACTCTCTGCATTTAACCCATCCCTTTGGGGAGCAGTGGGCTGCCATTGTGCTCAAATAAGGGATGTGAGGTGATCACCCAGTGGCCCAGGACCTGTAGGGGGAATCTTGTGGGACAATCAAAGGAGGAGCCTCTGCAAACTGATCCCAAGACACTTAACCTAGCTACCGGGAGGGGGAATATCACCTCTATGGAGGGAATGAGCCTAAGGGGAAGGGTGACTGCTGCCGGCCAGAAATAGTTGGGTTAACTGTACACACAGCCTGGGCTCTGGAACCAAGCTCCTTAAGAGAGACAGAGCTGCACTGTTTGCAGTAGGGGTAGGGAGCTGCAGAGCTCGATTGAGGGCGGTGAAAGGTAGAATCTCCTTAATCCAGCCATCATGCCTCCCTAGAGACTGGAAAAGAGGGAGGCTCACCCGCTCTGTCATGTTAGTTTATAGTTTTTTTACCCATATGCCGAATCAGATGGAGAACCCGTGTCTTTTTATGTTTAATTTACAAAAGCAACACGAATCTGGAAGTGGAGAGCGGCAGGAAGTCAGATGAACTTTCTGGTTGGTCTAAAGGAAGAAAGCAGACTGATCAGGAAGGAGTTGGTTTATGACAACTGATAAGTGATTGGTTTGCTTCTCTGAGAGATGAAGGTGAGGTAACATGGATCTGTAGGGGTTTGATTCAGTGGGATTGTAATATCCTGATCAGGTCAATATAGTATGAATAAAAGTTATAATTTACCTTTGGATGTAGCCTGACTGCTGTAACTGGAAATGACACTGGTGGACCACACTGAACTGGACTGGAGAGATGAAAAGAAAATGTAAAAATACACTTTAAGTCTGTACTGAAGGGTTTCCTATTTGATTTGACACACATACAAAGAGAAGCTTTTTTATTTGGATCGAACTTGGTGCATGATGAACAGAAATGTCCAGGTCAGCTTCGTGTCATTAATCTAGACTCCATCATGTCTTAAGCTTTTTATTAAACCAAATCACAGTCAAATCACAGTCACGTTTTGATTTATTTTTAGGGGTGAGTTAAAGTCAAGTCTTTGCTCTCTAATACCAAAAATATCATCCTTCCTTTATGTTATTCATGCACCTAATCTACCTTTTAACAGGAAACTTCTGTATCTTTTAATTTAAATCAATCTGCCAAATTAAAAGATGAACATTTGCCAGATTATTTTAGGGCATTTGTACCTATCTTATAAATACAATACATGCATTAACGTTAACTTTTAAATAATTACTTATCTAATTAAACGAAACAGCAACAGTAAAAGACGTATTCATCTCTTTCAGCTGTTATATTTATAGTTTTCATTTGTTGGTTTCTTTGATTGTTATCGCTCAATGACATCCTCTCCCATGTGCTTTAGTTGTGTATCATTGTGTTCTATATATGTGCATTCTGAGCCAACTTTCGACAAAAAATAAATTATGACAATAAAGATTCTTGAGTTTGTTGAATCTCTTAAGTCTATATACAAAACCTCTTTGGTTGTGTTAAACAATTATGCAGACTCTTTGGTATATTTTTCACGCAATAAAGAGTAAAATTCAAGTAAAAGGACTTACTTTGAACAAACCAAAGTATCTATCTTTGTCAAATCACTGGCTCAGAGATTCTGTAAATAAGATGTTGAGGTCCTTTAGATGGTCCTTTAGTCATTTAAAATAGTTTGATAGACATTTTAGCTTCTTACATAATGAAGCTACTCCTCCCAAACACCAGGCGGCATTTAGACATTGTTTTTTTTGGCTAAATCTGGTTGGTCTGCATAGTCTTGATATAGTTAAAAAAATGTTTGTTCGGTCTGATTTTGTTCCACTTTAATCCAATACTGGACATTGAAAAGAAATTGCAAGCCCAGTTTTCAATGTTTTTTCAACGATCTGAAAATTACGGCTTTTCTTTCACTTTTCAACCACATGTAGACGTTGTTTGGATGTACATCGTCTCGTCCTTTCAATGGCCTTTAAAACAATTTTTTCTCAGTGGGATACAGTAAGAATGTAAGCAACTTCCCTGCTCAATGATGCTTACATGCAAAACACACATATCAGCTTAATTTCAACCTATTTCCATCAAATTGTTTACCCAACTCTAGTTCCACACCTCAATGCCAAGTCAAGCCTTGTGTCTTTAGAGCTGTAGAATAATTTTAGAGTCTTTGTTTTTCCAGCTAAAGTACGACTCATATCAGTATCAGCATCTTTGTTACCCTTCAGTGGCGATCAGCAGAAAACTATCTTAAGCACAAAATAATGATGGTGTGCCATAATTTGTTCCACTCCGGTTTGTCAAGGAGCCATTCTTTGTTCCTACTGACCTTTATACTCTTTATCTAACTTTTAAACATTTTTAAGCATTTATATCAACTTCTTAAAAGTTAAATCAAATCAACGCAGATTGGCCTGTACGAACCACATACTTTGTACTTAGCTATACTAGGTCTGACTGCACCCAGCCCCTGCTATCAGAGACATGTTCAGGTGTGGCTGTTGCACCAACATGACTCATAGAAAAAACAACTCAGCTGCTGCAAGTTGAAACATGAATAAAACATTTCTGGTGTCATGTTTCCTCTAGGGAAGCAACAACATGGATCCAGTGACGCTGTGAGTACAGAGGATTGTCAAAGCATTTGATTCAGTTATAATTGTATAATGATAAAATTATGAAATCATATTTCATTAACTATAAGACAATCCTAGAGAAGGGGTGGGCAATTCCAGTCTGCAACTTCAATTTGTCTCTGGTTCAAAACACCTGAATCAGGTAAACAGATGATTAGCAGGACTCCAGTTGATTGATGAGATCTGTTATATATATATATATATATATATATATATATATATATATATATATATATATATATATATATATATATATATATATATATATATATATATATATATATATATATAAATAAAACGGTTGTCACGATACTAAACTTTTCAACTCGATATCGATACTAAGTAAAATATTCGATGCTCGATACCCTTTTCGATACCACAAGAATAAAAACAAAGACTCCAAAATTCAACAGGAATATTTTCATTACTAAAAAAATACAAGAAATAAATTTAAAAAACAATAAGAATAATATTTTGAGGTTGTATGCTGTGCAAAATATTAAGCAAGCTTGATAAAAAACTTACAAAATTAAAATTAAATGTTCCTTCCTTGACTGTGTTTTGCATAGACATAACAATAACACTAGCCAAACCAGTTAAACAAAATTAATTCTCAGCAGCTGCACCTGTTATAAAAAAGTCTGAAACTAAAAATGCACAGAATTATTCAATCACACAGTGTTCTGAAAGTGAATTTTCCACTATTCTGCACTTTTGATGGCTGTATCGATACTTTTGAAAATGAGTATGGTATCCGGATACAATGTTTCAGTATCGATACTTTTTTGAGTAACGATACTTTTGACAACCCTAATATATACATATACAGATCTAAAAAAAATAATAGTAATGTGCAAAAAAAAAAAAGAAAAAGAATAAATAAAT